TGTTTTCATTGCAATTTTTTCTTTTCCTTTCATATTTACTTCATGATAAATGTATAATAATATTTCAATATTCACTCATGTAAGAAACTTAGATAATCACCGAGATTGGACAAATGATTGAATGAAATGAGCCTTGAAAAAGCTGATCATTTCATTTGATTTATGAGCTAATTTCATTACATTAGCAAATAACGACGTTAAGACGCTGTTTTACATTACTTTTAGCTTTACAATTTCAAAGCCATTTAGAAAAGAAAAATTCAAATTCAGTAAAAATCGATTGAAAAGCTTGCAAATTGACATTAATAGCTCGATAATTCATGGAATTACATTCACTAATTTTCCGTAAATTTTAAGAGATTCAATGAAAAAACTTTTCGTTTCAAATCAACACAGAAAAGAATCGATTCAAAATGATCTTAAATCATAACTTCCAACCTTAATCAGAAGACAGAACTTAGACTTGAAGGACTTGCAAAAGTCTCCGGATTTGATCATTGACTAAGTTCGAGTTTTTTGGAGTTTTTTTTCATGGAAAAAATGAAAGCTTAAGTTGAGTAAAAATTGAGTTTCATTTTTTATCTTAAATTTAAACCCAATTTTTCATACTTGGCCAATCAATATGTTTACGCTTGAATCATCATTTCCAAGTTTCATTTATTGAAACAAATTAGTCAATGTCAATATTTTATCGACAACTTAATCGATTATTGTGTGCTCAAGTTTCCCTGTAATTAGCTTTTTCTGGCTTCTTTTTGATATTTTTATTCACTTATGAACAAAAGGATAAAAGGTTCTCTCTATTAACCAAATATAATGAATAATAGGAAGATAAAGATGCAGATGAGATACAGAGTAGCATCGAGCAAGATTGAGTGCAAAAAAGTACAAAAAAAGACCTAATCGGTTGACATGGGAAACATTTTTCAAGACAAAACTTTTTTTCTTCCTGGTAATCTCATTCATCTTATCAACATCAACTTGCAACCAACGAGTGATACAATTATCAAGCTCATTATCATCGTTATAGCATTAGAAGCATGTTCATCTTGAACAATCCTTGATGTTGATTGCTTTTGATGAATTAATCTTTTACCAAACGAAATAATTTTACAACTTAACTTCAAGTGTTGAACTTAACCTGGAAAATGCAATTTAAAAAGATATTGAAAAGGCGATTGAAAAGGTTTGATAAATTTGCAAATTTCGTTTAATCTCGTAAAGTTGAGTTCATTTTGATCATGTAACCATGGCTAAAGAATATAAAAATGAGCTGAAATTGCAAATTTTGCTCTTCATTTTTTCTTCTTTTCTTTTTTCATTGTAATTTTGTCTGTTAATAAGCAATCGATTGGACATATTATCTGTTTACCAAGCAATATGTAATGTTAATGTTGAATTAGTTGATGTTGTTTTTGTTATTAATATCAGGATTGCCTTTGACAAACTATGAGAAGCACAGAAAATAGGAAAATATTAAGCGAGTTAAGAGTCTAATCAATAGTATTAAGCTCTTTGCTTCAGAAGATGTCTTTTCTGCTCAATAAGCAAATGTAAAAAATAGTTTTCAACGTTTTCGTTTTGCCTTTTTTTTCGTTTACTTTTTCAACTTTGCACGAACTGTTCTGTTTGTCGCTTTTGCTTGCTGCATTTCATTTACATTCAGAGTCTTGATTCTTGGTTTACATTGTATTTGTTGAAAAATAAACTCATGTTTTCCAGTTTGTTTTGTTGTCAACCTTTAAGTTGAACAAAAAATATCGATTAGTGAATTTACTTTTCAATCAATTATTCGCTTCTCTTTTGCTTGTTCAGTGTCACTCATTGATAGGTTAATGTTGCCAAGAATAATGATGATGATGATGATGATTGTGAAGGACTTAAAGGTTAAGGTTGGGATTGGGAAGGATAAATGTGTTTGGATTGAAATGGATCGATTGGAAGCTTGCAACTTCGATCGGGATTCATCATTGAACTGGGTTCCTCTATTGAAGGTAAACATTTATCTAGATTAAAATGTTGTTTAAAAATTGTTGCCATCAGCATTGGATTCAATGTTAAACTGGGAATCCTTTTCAACATTTTCTCTACTTTTTCTTTATTCGTTGCTTTATATTTTTGTCATTAAACAATGGATAAGGTTTCAACTGTTTACGAATCTCCTTCAAGTATTTAAATGTCAATTGTAATTGATTATGAATTATTATTAAAAATATTTAATTTTCTTCTTTACTCTTTTGTTTTGCTTGGAAGCAAACTTGTCAACCTGATGAGTGATGCTCTAAGGTTTCAGTTTCATTGATTGTCATCGCACATTTTTAATTTGAATTCATTGGTGCATTAAATTAGCAATCTCATACTTGGAATGATTGAAGGGATTAATTGTTGAAATTTTAATAATTCTGATAAGAATCCAGAAAAGAGAGGGGAAAAAAGGTGAAGCAAATAATGTTTGCATGAGAATGAAAAGTGTAGAAATGATGATCACAGTTTTGTTGAGTAAAGACTAGACTTTGTTTTTAAACATTAACAACCTTACCATCAATCACTATCATGTTAATCACGTTTAATCCAGCAATTTGTTTCAATACAATTTACCTGAAAATTAATTTGTAATCCGTCTGTTTAAGAATAGGTTGTATTCAGATAAAAATAGCTTTTTCATTAATATTAAATGTTAAGGTCAGTGTCATCTGTGAGTTTCACGTCGAGATTTACTTGGGAAATTACTCTCAATGGATTTTAGCATTTCTCGTTTTACTTGTTTCTAGAAACTTAATCAAAATTGGTGTGCATTTTATGCAAGAATCGAGTGAATTGACTATTGCTATCTTAGTAATGTCGTCTTCTTTTCGTTTCTTTTCGAAAGTAAACGAACAAATGCAAAATTCGATTTGTTCTAAAGCAAAGAATCTTGTTCAATCATGAATGATAATTGCATAAGTTACCGATAGTACCGTAGTTAGGGTTAGTACTGCACTAGAGTATAAATGCACTCGATCTTTGACCCTTCATGATGGTCGATACAGCTCAATACCTTTAGCTCAGGGATAGCGTTTGGCTACGGTTAGATCATGATTTTGAAGCTTCAAAAAACGTTATCAATGATTGACAAACTAATAAGTCTTTTAAAACGTATTAGTTTTAATGTGATATTATAATATTTAGACTTTGTTGATATGCTTTTGATGTTAGCAAAAGTTGCAGTCAATGAAGGGCAATTCTTGTCTGATTTTTATTCTCAAATTGCACATTCGAATGGAGTATTCTTGTAATTGTGTTTCCCCTTTGAACTTGAAAATGTTATCCTCAATGGAAAAATGTGAAAAATTCTGTCATTTAGAATAATCGGAAATAGAAAAACGAAATTTTCTACCCACACAGACTTATTCTGTTGTAACACATTTTCAATGTCTTTTTAGGTGACATTTGATCGTCATCAAATAAACCCACATTAATAAAAGAAACGTCAGAATAGAGATTCACCCTTAAAATAGGAATTAATACACCTTGTTATCAACACTTTTTTACCCTTTTACTTCCTACTTGAAGCTACTTCAGTTACTTTAATTTGATAGCAAAAAGGGTTGACAATTTATTCTGAAGAGACTCAAAGCGTCTTAAACCTAAACTACTTACCCGAAATTGAACATTCAAAAGGCTATCCGTAGACAAAGCTATCCGAGCTTAAATTCGGCCTGAAACTTCCCTAGGAAAACTTTACTTTCCTTATTTCACAAAAAGTGCCAAATATGACTTCAGATTTCGATATCAACTGTTGTTAGAAAAAAAACAAATTCAACTCGAGTGGTCAAAATGAAGATGAAACTAATAAAAAGATCAGAAAATTGAAACAAAATGTTCATCTGAATCATCGATTCATCGTGTTGGGCAAACCTGAAAATGTTGTTCTATATTTATGCATATTCATTTGAATGTTTCTCAATCTATTTTTTGCTTCTTTTCCACCTTTCACTGAATTATCTGAAAATGAAAAGGAAGCAAAAAAATGATTGCTCAAAATGATTCAACACCATTGAACTTTCTGTTTATATTCCAAAGGGAAACATCCACACACGAAAAAAGGTAAAATTGGCTTCATTCTATTAGTTTAATCATGAAATTTTCATTCAACTAATTGAAGCTTTTCATTCTTGTTGTTTCACCCAAACGATTATAATAATCAGTGAATCTTTTGTTCCCCTGAGCAGTTTAATTTGAAATTTATTTCCGCCTCTCATCTTATCTGCCTTTTCAATAGTCTTGTTTATCCAAATTAATAGTAACTGAATTAGAAGTGATTGTGAAACTGAAATTGAGGAAGGTAAATGTTCACTAATAGCACAGGTAGAAGCGAGTATAAAAAAGATAAAACAAAAGAAAAGGAAAGTTCTAAATAAACAGAACTTCTCAGATAATTTAAATAGCATGATTATTTGATGACTAATTCTGACACAGAAACGGAAGAAAAGAGAATCTTCTTTTTTTCTTCTAAACGAAAAAAATTAACTTTAAAAAGAGAGAAAATAAGATTTGCCATGTAAATGAATGAATGAAGGAAAACAAGAAAAAGGAATGGAATTGAAAAAAAACGAAAAAAAGTCTTCATTTACTTTACATTTTCATTATTTTCAAGTCAATTTGTGAATTGAAATTTTCATCTCATTGAACATTTCAACTGAATCAATGGCAATCGAAAGCGTTTATCATGATCTTTTCAAGTCAAGCTGCAACATTTCCATGAAACGTCCAGAGTTTGAGTTGAATTTGATGTAAATTTGAACTAAAAATGAATTGAGAATAAAGTTTATCAAAATGTCATGAGAAAAAATTGAAGCAAATGCTTAGATTTACAGATTTTTCAGCTTTCAATTTTAAAGGAAAAGGCAATTTAATTGAATCTACAAGTTGGTCAATCATGAAACTTTGAATCTCATTGTAATGATTGGTTTGAAATTTGATTTTTTGTTTAATTCTAATTTGTTTCTTTCTCTTCTCAGGCAAATGCTCAACTACGAAAAGAGGAATTTGCTCGGTTATTGGATGAACATGCCCAACTGGTGAATGAAATTAATCGAGCTGAAACAACTTTATTGTGATGATTATGGTTTAATTGGTTTACTCTGGGCTGGACTAGCTTTATATATCTTGATATTCACCTCTCGCACTTGGATTATACCGTGAACCAGAATTGAAATTTTAAAGGGAAAGGAATCAAAATGGAAAGTTTCTTTTGCTTTTACCTGTGAAAGTGAAATGAACACATTAAATATACTTAATTATATATTGAATTATGGACAACAAACTGACCACAAACAAACCAAATGTCTTCACTTAATCTTTCCTTTTCTTCTTCTCTTTCCTTCAACATCTTTTAACAGAAACAAAACTATTTTCATTCCTCAATCAACATCCCTTACAAAAAATATTGAGTAAATTATCCTTCAATTGTTAGTAATAAAGATAACAATGATAATAATATTAATGATAATTGTTAATCCGTCTTTAAAAATCAACTTTTTGTCGTAAAAAAAGGATAAAAGTAAATTGGAAATAAATAAAAAATTTTAAACCTAAAAAAGTCTGGTTTCATTCACAATGTTGAGGGCAATTCAATGGCGAAATGGATGAGATTTTCTTGGAAATTATTTTCTTTTATTTCTTCTAAGAATTGAAGTGAAAATTCAGAGAAACTCGGCTAATTTTGTTGTTGGTTAAGTTGATTATATTCACAATTTAAGTCACTTTGTCAGTTGGATTATCGCATCTTAATTATGGTTGGTTTGGTTTTGGGTTTGCTTTTGAGGTTGAAAGTGTTGCCATCTATTAGTGGTGATGATAGCTCATGGATAAATTTGGTTTAACAAGATTTTATTTGTCAAATTAAGTTGAGATTTAAATGAATGTTTTAATGTTAAGTTATCGATTTGATTGGGTTTGGAGTGGGAATTAAATTTCTTATTTTATTAAGTCTTTTAATTGTATTTTTCTCTATGAGAAAGTTCCATTTATGATTCAAAAATTGGTGTATTGGGAGATACGATGGTCGATTCAATCGATTCATCAATATCTCTCTGAAACATGTGAGTTTTGTTGCGCTTCTTGAACCACGCTGTTGTGTTTATTTTCTAGTTTAGTTTAGTTAATTTGTAGTTTTTCTACATTATGGAATCTGTTTATAAATTAAAAGTGGTTGGTGGGTTAAATTTTACCGAAAGAAAGTGTATTTTTTCACTTGATGGAAAATTATTGTTGACTATTGCTACAAATTGTATTCTTATTTTTGTTGTCGATGATGGTTCTCCTTATGGAACACTTACTATCACCTCAGATGAAAATAAGAGTTCCAGGAAGAGCTCTTTTGCTGAAGATATTTGTAATATTGTTCTCAATCCATATTCACCTGAATCTTCGGTAATCAGTTTCACCAACCGTGGCAGGATTACATTTTGGAATTATCTAAAAGTTAATCAAATTAAAGAGTTCAATATTTTCTCTTCTCTTTATCCTGATATTCAATCTTCGTTGACTCTTCTTTATGGACTTGTGGTTAAACCCGAAAATGATGATGACAACATTTCAGATTTAACCATTTATCATGCAACCATGTTTTGTGATAAACCATACCTTTATTATTGTACTATTGGGCAAATCGAGCAAATGACCAAGTCATGTGTTTCCAAAGATAAACCGAGGAAATCAAAAGCCGGCTCTCAAGTTTCACTTGATAGGCTGAAATCTATGGCTACTAACATTCGATATGATCCTGATCGTGCTTTGGTTGGTATTGTTACAGGAGCTAGAAATAAGTTTCTAGCCGCAATTGACGGAAATTTCATCAATATAATCCATCTTCCTTACTCGACATCCACTGGAGGTATTGCTCACAAACAAGCTCGTAATTTCTTCACATGCTTAACAGCTCATGCAACAGAGTATCTTCTAGCTGCTGGCGACTCTCTTGGACGAGTACATATCTATCGAGAAGATTTCTGCTTTTCTCATCAACCAATTAGAAGTATAACTCACTGGCATCATTCACCAGTTGCTGATTTATGTTTCTCGCCATCTGGGTCTTACCTTTACTCAGGTGGATTTGAATCAGTACTAGTTCGGTGGGATATTTCTTTCAGTCATGAAAACAATTTCTATCCTAGATTGGGCTCTCCAATTCGATATGTGATCTGTGATAGTTTAAATCAAAAAATTTTGACCTGCCATGAGAACAATACTTTTCATTGTGTTGGCTCAACTTTTGACGTAAATTTTCCTGCTCTCGGTGGTCTTACTCTTTTACCGCCAACAGATTTTCTTCGAGCTCCACAAAACATTTCTTGGGATCCAAAATCATCCAGCATCGTGTTAAGGGGAAAATGTGGCCATCTTCAGTTCTATTCACCCTTCAAGGAACAACAACTATTCCAGTTAGACGTAGTTGGTATGAACTATTTGCCACCAGAAGTAGATCGGGTAATCATAAATGTTGATGTCGCTCGTTTCTGTGTCTCTTCCAATGGCGAGTGGATATCAACACTTGAATATCGTGAGGATGGTGTTATGATGCCAGAGATGAGACTAAAGTTTTGGCAATATCTTGATTCTTCGGAAAACAAATATAAATTGAATTCCTGCATACATTTACCTCATAAGAAACCTGTTAATAAGATGAAATTTTCGCAAGACTCTAATTTTATGGTCACAACTAGTAGGGATACCGAATTCAAAATTTGGCATCTTGTCAAAGAAGATTCTGGTAAACCTGATGGCAAAACATATTGGATTTGTGGACGAGTGGGCAATTTGAATAGATTTTCAACGCCCGAAGAAATAGCAGTCTCATCTGATTTTTCTTTGTTAGCAATTTCTTTCGGCTCTAATGTAACTATTTGGGATACAAGTGACTACAATCTCGAATCTAGAGGAACCTTTGTTCCACCAAAAGACTCTCATCTCAGTTCGATTGACCAAACTATACTATCAATTGGTTTTGGTAGTGATATTCAATCCAATTTGCTTTTTGAAACTCGTTCTTCATCAGTCAGGGTTTGCGATCTCTTGAATTACTCAGGTATTTTTCATTTTCCATTTTTAATTATAATTTGAATTTAATCCTAATCAATTCTAATAATTCTTCTTCTTAATTTTTTAATTTAGTTAAACAACTTTGGAAACCACCTAAAAATACTTATATCAAATTCAATCTTTATGATGATCAAAAGAATAGAATGGCATGTTATTTAACTAATGGAACAGTCGTTTTACTTGACACGGAGAAGGAAATAGCTAAGATCACCTTATCCCATGCTACAGCTGATGTACGTTTGATGGTTTGTGGGATATTTTTCCCTCTTCCAAGAGTTTCAGATGATCCCATCTTTTCGCATCATGGAATGATTTTGATTGATCAATCACAAAAGGTTTATGCAATTGGATTATCTGACAATAAAGTTGAAGAACTGAGTCTAAGTGGGCCAATCGATGACGAGTTGGATGAAAATTTAACTCCATTCGCAAGGATGTGTAAGGAAGAGCGATATAAAGTGAAAAAAGAAGAAAAGTTAAAACAATTGGAGCTCAATCAATATCTTGGACCTTCAATTACTCGTAAAAAATTGATTGAAGATGTATTTATCAAGGTTTCATCTCATATTTTACCTCCTGTTGAAAAATTTTGTACTTCATTTTTAACCTCTTTGCTGCAACTAAACTCTTCTAATAGTAGTAACGACAATGTAAAAGAAATAGATAAATATTCTGATGCAAAAGCTTCAGATGACTCTAGTGATGAAGAAATTGATGAAAAATCTAAGGTTAAAGAAACAAACGATCAAGTACCAATGGAAGTGGACAATGTTTTAGACGAAAAACCTGAATTCGTCTTTAATGAAAACTATGATTGGTTAAAAGATTAATTATTTTTATTGTGTTGGCTTGAGTGACAAATCAAGTCATCTTTAACACCCACCTCTGTATAATTGACCTCAAATATATTGAAACTTTTCGTTCATTAATGACCAGTAAATCTTTGAAATTATGAATGTTATTTTATTCATTTCTTTCCGCATTCCCGCAAACCATTAAATGACCATTTTATAGATTGGTTTAATAATTGAGAATGTTTATTAATCAGTATTTAAAAACTAAAGCTGCTTGAGACATTCGCTGTTTCTTTCGTTCAAACCATAATCGGAATCGAGATACTTCAGGCATTTCTATTGAAACAACAGTTGCTATTGAATTGGATCGATTTGGTGCTATTCCCCATGGCTGTGGAGTTGCTGAAGCAAACAGTATAAAGTAAAACCATCCAAGTATCATAATACACCCAGTTATTATGAATATCATGTTCCATTGAAAAGCATCATTTACCTGAAAAAGAGATGTAAATATATTTGTAATCATGAATTCACAACTAAAATATTTTCTCAATTTTACCTTAGAACTCAATATAGATTGAACTAAGATTGGTACCGTGATTCCACTTGCAGCTGATGCCGTATTTGTCATTCCAAATACTGTTCCAGATAAATCAGGAGACATTTCTGAAATCAATGGTATATCGCCTCCAGTCCTTAACCCCATAGCCAACATTGAAAAGGTTAAAATTATCAAGATAGACGTTTTATCATGACCAAGAAATGTTATTGTTATGAAACAAACTGCTGGTATCAATAAAGCTGTTTGAGGAAAGATTGACAGTTAGTTGAAAAGACGGTGATGCTAAATTGATTCAGTTTTAAGGTCTATATCAATATGTGATGGATGGAATCGATTGGTGTTGATTTGTTTGGTTTTTTTACTTACTGCAAGTTTCAAAAATTCTTCGAGTCATCGAGACATGGACAATTTTCTTAATTATTATCCAATCTGCTAATGGACCTGAAACAATCATAGAGACACAAACGGCTATAAGAAGGTAAAAAATTATCCACTGATTAGTTTGATTTGTAAAAGACCAAATAAACATGAGGTAAGCTGGTAAACTGGTTGTAATTAAAATGTAACCAAAACTCCAAGCTCCTTGAGCAATCGTTATTGACCATAATTTTTTGCTGGTCCATAATTTATACCATTCAACTTTCACTATCTGTAAATTAATCACTCAATCAAATACTGATATTTAAGCTGTTAATCTGTTAATAGTTACCCTTCGACGTTGGTTGGAACAGGATTCTTTTTGGATGAGTCGTAATTCATATTCCGAAATCCACCGATGACTTGCTGGATCAGGTGTTACCAGAAACCACCAGAAAAAGGTGAAAACACAATTTAATCCACCAATAGTGTACCAAATACTCGGCCAATCTCGCGATTGTGATAAATGGTTGATTGGATGACAAAGATAGGCGGATAGAGGAATTGTAATCAATTGGCCAAAGCTTGAACCAGCAAAGATGAAACTTAAAACTAAACCAAGCTCCGATTTAGGAAACCAGCGAGTGATGAGAACATAAATTCCGGTCAATATCGGCCCATGAGATACTCCTTGGATAAATCGGATTATAAAGATGACAGCAACTCCGCCATGAATGGATACTGGTGTTAATAAAGTGCAGCAAGTTGATATCAAATGGGCAGCAATTGTTAGATAAGCCACATTGAAACGTTCACAAGATCGACCAGTGATTATATTTACTGCTAAATAACCATAATAATATGCAGTCACAATTGCGAATCGCTGACTTTCACTCCAATAATAGTAATAATATTCCCAAGGATCTTTTGGCTCAAGTTGAGTCTAGCCATGATTTAAAAGAAACGATTTATTCAGCTGATTGTGTTGAAATTAAAAGAGATAACTTACATGTTGTTTAGAGGATGTTGTATTTGGATCTCGATAGATTGGATCTAAAATCAAACTGAGATTGGCAATTGAAGCAGCTGCAAATATGGTTGAACAAACGGATAAAAAAGCGACAATTAAACGAACTGGAATCAATGGTTTCTCATTCATTTTGGCCATCATCTCTGACCATCGATTATCACTTGATGGATTAACCATGATTAATCTAAATATAGAAACTTGGATGGATTAACAATGGACCACTGAAACAATGCGTTTTCAAACGTTTGGAGTAATTTTTCTAGTTTTCCACCAACTATTGGTTAGGCGATTTCATTGTCACCCAATGTTTTGGAATTGAAATTTTAACTTGGCTCTACTTCATATTTCCACCCAGTTGTGGATCAATTAATAGTTGGTTTGTTGCATCACTAACTACATTTTATATGATTCAGCAAAAAATGATCAAACTGTTGATCAACTTCAATTTCAATCGATGGATATTATTATATTTAAAGATTACTGCCCTTGAAGATAATTTTGTTCAACGGTTTCGGTTTCCAATCACAATTAACATGGAACAAAAGATTAAGCTTTCTCATTTCATCTTTTGTATTGTTTAGTACCAAGACTAGTCATTGGCAAATCAGTCTATCAACTGAATTAACGAGTTGACTGTTAGTTCTTTAAGAATTGCCATTTCTCTTGAATGTCTTGTCAATCCAATTCAATCGAAAGGATTTTTTTGTAAATATTTTTAAGGTTGTTAATTAATTAACTATTTTAGAAGGTAGTTCAATTTGTTCAAGTCATGCTTAAAGTGACTTTCCAATGTTGACTCTGAAAATTTCAATTTTCAATGAATTAGAATCTCTTAATCAACTCATTAAATCAAAATTATCAATTAAAGAGGATTTTCCAAAAACAATGTTGATTCCATTAAAATTTTAGGTTCACTTGAAGTTTAACCAGAAAAAAAATTAAGGACAGATAGAGAATATAAGTTTTTACTATTTTCATACGTTAACTTCAATACAATGAATAATATTTGTAGCGATTAATAATTAATAATTGCTAATTACTGATTACTAGTGAGGATCATAAGCTGAAATTCATCAATGAAAAAGTCTAAAAATGGTGAGAAGCAGTTTTGGCCATCAAAGCATTCCGTAACAAAGGAAACAGGAAGAAAAAGCAAAAACAATTTTCACTCTCAGGTAATTTTTTGTAAGCAGAGCATTGCTTAAGTTTCAAGGTGAAGGTTAAGGTCAAAGTAATAAAGTAATAATTAGTAAATTGTTGAGACTCTTTGAAAGCTACGTTACTGGTGTCAGTGGGTCGTTTGCTTTATAAGAAGTATCTTGGTGAAGATGTTAATAGTTTCGATGAATGTTGAAGCATTGTTGAGTTTAATGGCTAATATAGTATCTTCTTTATTGATTGTTTGAGTCAATTGTAAGTTGAAAGATGACTTAAGTATCTAATTTTGTTTGATTACAATTATTTTGAATAGTTTTTAATAAGACTTTAGATTTAATCAGAGCAACGTCTTGTGCCTCCCTCTATTGGTATCAGTCTTAAGTGTGGAAGATTTGTTTACTTTTTTACCTTTTCACAGTTGGTTTCTCATTTCTTAGACTTTCATCCTGTGATGTTGTCTTGTAATGAAATGTTCGGTTTATTTGTTTAATTGGATTTTATTTTTTTGGTTTGTTGTAAATTTGGCTATTGTTGCCTCAACCCAATGTCCAATATTATAATCAATGATGACAATGAAGCTGAAACCTTCATTGGAAATGAAGAGGATAAAGAAAATCAATCATATGGTAAATTGGTTGAAGAAGTAACTGAGATTGTTAAAAGTAATAGTGCTGTCAAAGGAGGTGTTAAATGGACAATCGGTGATGAACCATTGAATGAAAATGATTCTAAATTGGTTAATTCTGGGCTGAGGAAAAGACGGACCCATTCATCTGGTGGTATTAAAGATGGTAAATCAATTACAATTGCAGGTGGTAATGGTAAAGTTGGAATAGGAAGACGAATATCATTTGCAGGTGTTGAAACGGGCTTGATAGAACCTAAAGTTGATTATTCATGGAAAAATGTTACACTCTATGACTATATTCATCGTGAGATTAGAAGATCATATCTGCCTGAAAATGACGAAGCTCGTTACGCCGAAAGGAGGGAAAAATTTTACATGTTTCTCAAGATTCCACGAGAACTGGAAAGGGTTAGTCTCTGTTTTTAGGAAAAATTCAATTCAATTCAATGTAATTTGCTAATATCTGAAATTTTTTCTTTTCCAGTTCATATGGTTTGGGTTCCTTCAATGTGTCGACGTTTTTGTTTCCCTTTTCACTCTTTTGCCGATTAGATTTTTTCTCTCTCTTTGGTTTTTATTGTCAAGATCTATGTCTAAAACTTTCAGGTATGAATTTAATCCTATGATTCAAATAATATTATAAACAGTAAGCTCATAAGCCTATTTATTGCAGAAAATCAACTAATCAAGGTCGATCAATTCTACAACCTGCTGAGATCTGCGATCTTCTGAAAGGAATCATGTTTATCATCGGTGCTCTTCTTCTTTTTAACATTGATACCTCAATGTTGTATCATATAATCAAATCTCAATCTGTGATAAAGCTTTATATATTCTTCAATATGCTCGAGGTAAATCATCTATTATCATTAATATTCTTGTCTCTCATTTTTAAGAAAACATTCATATAACAACATTAATCCCATGTTTCACTTTATCCTTAGCTGGCTGATAAGTTGATTACATCATTTGGTTTAGATATATTGGATGTATTATATTGGACTGCAACTGAACCAAGAGGTAGAAAGAGAGAGCATTTCGGAGTGATTCCTCATCTTTTCATGACTATTGTGTATATTTGTAAGTAAATAACATGATGTTAATTTTATCTCGCTCACGTTTTTTTCATTGACTGTATCTTCATCTAATCTTATCGTTTTTCATTTCTTTTTGTTTTCCGACAATTAGTTGTCCATGCCATATTAGTCCTTCTTCAAGCAACTACTCTTAATGTCGCTATTAACTCGAGTAACAATGCTCTTCTCACCATTATGATGTCCAATAATGTAAGTAGTTAGATTTGCTGCAAAATATTTCAATTAAGCTTATATTTCGAGCGATTTGTCTTTAATTCCTCACTCATTTTTCCTTCTTTTTCACTAAATAGTTCGTCGAGCTAAAAGGAATGGTTTTCAAAAAGTTCGAGAAAAATAATTTATTCCAAATGTCATGCAATGATGTCAAAGAAAGGTTCCATCTTCTGATAATTTTAATTGTGGTTGTCATACAAACTATGAAGGAATATAATTGGGAGGAAAAGCATTTTTGGATCCTTATGCCTTACTGTTTCTATATTTTCATCAGTGAATTCGCCGTCGATTGGGTTAAACATTGTTTTGTTACTCGATTCAATGATATTAGTCATGAGATTTATCATTCATATACAATTAGTCTGTCTTATGATATTGCCAGCAGTAATCTGAAAAGTGTAAGTTTATCCATAAAAATCTGATGCAATTTTTTCTCTGATTCAATCTAATCCATGCAATATTTGTTTTCATAGGCCTATTCAGACCATACTGATTTAATATCTAAAAGGATGGGATTTGTTCCTTTACCGTTAGGATTATTGCTAATGAAAGTTGTTTATATTTCTGTACCCTTAAATGGATGGTACGGGATCGCTGCAATTGCTATTGGCTTTCTTTGGTATGTATGATAATTAGTTAATAATCATTTATTTTCCATTCCTAATTAGTAATAATTTTAATTCCAATGTTTACCTTCTCTCTTTCTAGTTTAATCAGCTTCAAGTTTTGGCTCAATATTTTACTAGTTGGGCGAGCTTTCAAAATCATTGAAGATAAGGAAATCGAAAAAGAAAAGAGTGATCCATTTGTACGACATTGCTCGAGTTTACCTTCAAGTCGTCATACAAGCGTTGAAAACATTCCCGGAAACTTGGAAGCTCCGCTTAAACTCAAAATTATCAATCAAACTAACAGCTAGCAATAGATTATTAGAATTATTAATTTTTTTGCTGGAAGCAAAATATAAAAATTTTTATACAAAGAATTTGTTTCTATCTATTCAATCCGTTTTTACTGGTATTCATTTTTCGATACTGTGTCATCTTCATTCTATTAGCAACTCAGAATCGGATCAAATGCTGTTTACTGCAAATTTTTTGGATTCCTTGACAACCGATTTATCCTCGTCCATCAATATTTTATATCTTCATCCAATTAACGAGCTGTTTCTACTAGTCCTAATCAATTGCTACATTTCAAATATCAGTCAAATATCACTGTATATAAAAAAATATGAACACAAATTATTTATGCAAATTGAGACTTTGATTTCATCTTTTCAATTTTTGCCGATTCAAGTTTTAGATGAATTTCAGTGATTCGAAGTCGTTATGTATTTAAAAATCAATGCTAAATCTGCTCAAATAGTTTGCGGAAGAGTTCGAGCTTCTTCTTGCACTGGATAAATGATAGTGTTTGTAGCTTGTTGCAAAAACGTGTAAAATCTGAAAAACTCTTGTTAAATCACAAAAATATTATACAAATAAAGAATTGAAGAAAAAACAAAATAAATTTTTTTTAAACATAAAAAATGTCAAAACTATAACATTTCCATCAAATGTAAATAAAATACATTAGGAGTCTAAGGGACTTAACCCTGAGTAAGCACTACTGAATGTCGCCTTAACTTGAGGATTTGAGCGAGATTCGAACGCTAGCCTCAAGATGCAGAGTACAACATATGAAGATTAGCTGTCTTATCGCCAATGCTAATCATTAGGCTAGCAATAAATTAAAGTACCAATAGAATCGAACTTTTTTTGTCCAGTTTTCTATTAAATTGTTTTTTTCTTGTCTCTAGAAACTAAATATGCTCGAGATGGCGACAGTTAAATTAACTTAATTCAGATTAGTTTTTCTTAACATAACCCTAGCCTAGTGGTTAGAGGTTGCGATAAGACAGATACTCTTCTTATGTAATACTCTCGCGTTCGAATCTCGGCCAAGTAAAGCGACATTCAGCAGTGCTTACTCAGGGTTAAACTCCCTGGTATATCCCATCCCTTCTTCCTAATGAACCCAGCTAACGATCTGGATAGAGGCAAATTTTCAATAGAAAAAGATTTTCTAAATTAAACACATATAATAGAGACCGGTGTAAGTGTCAGGAAGAGCCATAGCCAATAAGACATTTTGAGGTAACCAACCTGACATCAATTTGTTTCTTCATCTCAAAAAATACCTCGAAACATTGCAATCTCTGAAGCTAAAGTAAACGTCTCATTGACTTGCACAATACAAAAATCTTCATTAACTTTCAAATAAACCAAACTAACCCAGCTAACATTGAAATGTAAACTTCAAACAAATACTGAAAAATGTGAAACCTTTATAAACATTTCATTAAACGAGGGGAACCGTCAGAAGTATCATATCGATATTGAGATTTCATTGGTCGCTATCTGTACATTAGACCTTGTTGAAAACTTATTAGGTTGGCCGGATACAGTTTAGGGTCGAGTTTTATTTTATTGAATTCCATGTGATAATCGCAGAGAGATGAATATTGGTGCTTAGCATCTTACAATATTCATGCATTTTTTGCAATCAACAAAAATTGATTATCTCAATTGATTGCTGAGATATTTTTTAGATATCTCAGCATTTTGGGAAAATTTTTTAGCTCCCATTGACTAAGATTGATTTTAATCAAAAATACAGTTTATGCATAGAGTCCCCCTTTGACCATTTCAAAATACAGG